AAAGTGTTTGTTTTTAAAAATAGTTGCTTTTTTTTAAACTTATTTAATTTAATGACTATTTTATCAGTTCACCTGTTTAACAATTATCATAAAGTTTCGTAGTTTAGTAGCAAATTGTAGTATAAATAGAGTTCCACATCAGTTTACAGAAGAGTTTTCAGTCTTGATCACTGGAATGTGATTTATATTTAAAACTAGTGATGTGCATGTAGGAAAATTTGGCTGAATATCGGGTCCAGGTACCCAGTCGCTAAGCTTTGGCTGGGGCCAGGTGTCAACCGGGACCGGGTTTGCCCCTTGCCCCCCCCAAAAAAAACATACACAAAAACTAGAAACAAAAACAAAATTGACGTTTATTACATTTATCAGATAATCACCAACAGAACATTCTAGTTTCACTTTCAACTTTCAGTGCCTAGCTCCAACTTCTCAAACCCTAACCCCTTTGTTCTCTAAACCCCCACCTTCCCCAAAATCCACTCCTCAAGTCATGCATGTTATTAACCCCAATTATCGACTGTAACTTTCAGTAATGCTTTAGTTGCCACAGAGATTAGGACTAAATGCCTAACTTCTACACTCGGCAAGGCCCAAGTATTACCAGGTAGCCCAATACCTTGCTGGGGCCAAATATCTGGCCAGGTACCTGTGCATCCCTATTTAAAACTATTACTTAGATGGACGTTCCACATCAACTAAAGTTCACAGGAAAGTTCTCAGTATTGATCACTGGAATGTGATTTATATTTGAAACTATTATTTAAATGGACAGCCTGCTTTGTGAACCATTCAGAGGTAATAAAAACGACCACAGATTGAGATCAGTCTACGATAAATTCTTCTTGTACTTGCAAGGCTAGTGTGGTTCTGCTTATATGAAATGTGTGCATGTGTATAAAATCCAACTCTTTGTTTAATTATTAGAACATTAAAAATTTATACCTACATTTTTTTCAGATGGTTAACAGCCAACTTCATTGATTTTTTTTGTAGCCTATTTATTGACAAAAGGCTAATCCATCATAAGACTAATATCAAACATGTATGTATGACATACTCAAGGGTCTCCAAATGTCCGACCACTATGTCATTGTTTGGATTTACTCAAGGAGCTCCAAATGTCTGACCACTGTGTCATTGTTTGGATTTACTCAAGGAGCTCCAAATGTCCGACCACTGTGCCATTGTTTGGATTTACTCAAGGAGCTCCAAATGTCCGACCACTATGCCATTGTTTGGATTTAGTCAAGGAGCTCCAAATGTCCGACCACTGTGTCATTGTTTGGATTTAGTCAAGAAGCTCCAAATGTCTGACCACTGTGCTATTGTTTGGATTTAGCCAAGGAGCTCTAAATGTCAGACCACTGTGTCATTGTTTGGATTTACTCAAGGAGCTCCAAATGTCTGACCACTGTGTTATTGTTTGGATTTACTTAAGGAGCTCCAAGTGTCCGACCACTGTGTCATTGTTTGGATTTACTCAAGGAGCTCCAAATGTCCGACCACTGTGTCATTGTTTGGATTTAGCCAAGGAGCTCCAAATGTCCGACCACTGTGTCATTGTTTGGATTTAGCCAAGGAGCTCCAAATGTCCGACCACTGTGTCATTGTTTGGATTTAGCCAAGGAGCTCCAAATGTCCGACCACTGTGTCATTGTTTGGATTTAGTCAAGGAGCTCCAAATGTCTGACCACTGTGTTATTGTTTGGATTTAGCCAAGGAGCTCCAAATGTCTGACCACTGTGTCAGTGTTTGGATTTACTCATATGGGTGTATTGAATAGTATGCCTAAGATTATATATATTGAATTAAAGCATGTTAGTTTCCAGATTTTATGTCTGCACCACATGGTAGAGTGAATCGTGTTATTTCTGCACCACATCTTAAAGTGAATCATGTTATTTCTGCACCACATCTTAAAATATGATGTAATGTACCTAGCCTCTTACAGGAGGTGAGTAATTACAATATGATTTAATGTACCTAGCCTCTTAGAGGAGGTGAGTAATTACAATAGGATTTAATGTACCTAGCCTCTTACAGGAGGTGAGTAATTACAATATGATTTAATGTACCTAGCCTCTTACAGGAGGTGAGTAATTACAATATGATGTAATGTACCTAGCCTCTTACAGGAGGTGAGTAATTACAATATGATGTAATGTACCTAGCCTCTTACAGGAGGTGAGTAATTACACGATTCACCACCTCCTGTAAGAGGCTAGGTACATTAAATCATATTGTAATTACTCACCTCCTGTAAGAGGTTAGGTACATTAAATCCTATTGTAATTACTCACCTCCTGTAAGAGGCTAGGTACATTAAATCATATTGTAATTACTCACCTCCTGTAAGAGGCTAGGTACATTTTGTTTTGTTTTACTTCCCGACTGTTGAAGTTCTTTATTAAACTCGGCTTTCAGTGAGGGGTCACTTTCTATATCTCTCGGTCCTGAGTCATCATCCTTAGAGGAATACCTGCACTCAGTTTGGTTTCCTTCTGCAAAAATACAAATAGATCTTAGTGTTGCTGACACGGATTTTAAGATCATTAGATCTTATTGTTAAACTTACATTTACACTGCTTTCCCCAAAGATTACTTCATACATAGGTCTGAGGAGTTAACTGATTACAGCGTAACAGAAAAATGGAATTTCTTGTGTAATGTAAAAATGTCCTTGCAAGTTTTGTAATTAAAACACACATAAGTTAGAGAAAGATAATTGATGAAAAATCACGTTTTAATCTACTGATTAAGTGAAAATTAACTTTTTGTTTCAAGATTTCAGGCTAGAATAATTTATAAATAATATACATTAAACATATATTATTTATGTAAAAACATAACAGCATATAGAAATTATGTAAAGTTTTTCTAAGGAATTAATATTTCTTTTTTAAATATTTTCTCAGAGTTGGTGTTTTTCAAACATGTTAGCTTCTGATTATCACGAAAAGCAATTAATGTTATAAGTGTATACGTCAGAATCACTGCTCATTAATAGTTACATTTACTGCATATCTGATAAGTTAAAATCACTTAATTATCACCAAGAAATGTTTAATACTAACTTCTAGTACATTATAATAAAATTAAAGTATTGGTCATGAATCTTTTCTTATTTTAAACTTATGTTAGGTGAGACTAGGCTTGATTGTTGATTGATTATCAGGTCAGCCTGTTAGTTTATGCTGTAAATGGTGCAAAGTACTAGAAACAAGAGAAATGTCATATATAACCATATGCAAGTGGAATTCCTATTCAAACATTATCTATTTGTAAAGTTAGGCCTATTGTTAGTTATATGTAGGTTGGAAAAGTTGTACTTGTAGATATTGTAGTTTAGGTAAAAAACGTTTTTATTATCTTTAATGAACTTAGAACTTTCCTTTTTACTAAATAATTATGATAATAAAAATGCCCAAGAATAGAAACTGTCAGAGCAATATACAAATTAAATTTATTCAAACAGGGGAAAATATACTATATCATAAATACAAACAATACTGAATCATACACATTTGGATAAATTTCCACAACAATGTCAATAATCAACATACAAGTAAAAGTAATTGCAGTAGAAGGTGGCACCTGAAATTAAACAAACAACCTAAACACATCTAAAACAAATCTATAACTATCATACATATAAACACTAACATTTTGGAAAATCAGTTCACTTCGCTTTTTTTAAAGTCTCTAGCAGACTGTCGATCACATATACACAACTGCAATGTTGAAACAAAACCACACCTACCTTTATAATGTTGAAACAAAACCACACCTACTTTTATAATTTGGAAACAAAAACAAATCAACCTTTATAATGTTGAAACAAAACCACACCTACCTTTATAATGTTGAAACAAAAACACCTACCTTTATAATGTTGAAACAAAACCACACATACCTTTATAATGTTGAAACAAAACCACACCTACCTTTATAATGTTGAAACAAAACCACACCTACCTTTATAATGTTGAAACAAAACCACACCTACCTTTTGGAAGTTTTGGAAAACATTCATCACAAACTCTTGCTGTTTTAAACCCTAAATAACGAAGTGGGGCTTGACCAGCTGAACAAACAGAACACACAACCTAGAAAAAAAAGACACCTTATAGTATTATAGTCCAATATGGATGAACAATCACAACCTACACAAAAAAATACACCATATAGTATTATAGTCCAACATGGAAGAACAATCACAACCTACACAAAACACACCTTATAGTATTATAGTCCAACATGGAAGAACAATCACAACCTATACTTATAAGGTATGGAGGTACTATTGCATTAGGTTATTGTTTAATGAAGAAATCACAGCTTATTTGTTATCACTTATAAGATATGGAGGTACTATTGCATTAGGTTATTGTTTAATGAAGAAATCACAGCTTATTGTTATCACTTATAAGGTATGGAGGTACTATTGCATTAGGTTATTGTTTAATGAAGAAATCACAGCTTATTGTTATCACTTATAAGGTATGGAGGTACTATTGCATTAGGTTATTGTTTGATGAAGAAATCACAGCTTATCGTTATCACTTATAAGGTATGGAGGTACTATTGCATTAGGTTATTGTTTAATGAAGAAATCACAGCTTATTTGTTATCACTTATAAGGTATGGAGGTACCATTGCATTAGGTTATTGTTTAATGAAGAAATCACAGCTTATTGTTATCACTTATAAGGTATGGAGGTACTATTGTATTAGGTTATTGTTTAATGAAGAAATCACAGCTTATTTGTTATCACTTATAAGGTATGGAGGTACTATTGTATTAGGTTATTGTTTAATGAAGAAATCACAGCTTATTTTTTATCACTTATAAGGTATGGAGGTACTATTGTATTAGGTTATTGTTTAATGAAGAAATCACAGCTTATTTGTTATCACTTACTGTAATACTTTAACAACTGCTGAAAGAGTAGAAAGTTACACAAACCTTTCCACAAGCTTGACAGTGATGACGGCGGAAGGTGACGGTGAACTCATTTGTACACAACTGACACAAAGTAACAGCTGCATCAGGTATCCATTCTGGTGCTGTACTACCCAGGTCAACAGTTAGACCTCCATACTGTGTATATCAACATATTCAAAAGATCAACAAAAATATTTCAACATGACCAAACGTTCAAATGATCAACAGCTAACCACAAACTCAAAAATATCAATGTCCAATATTTCAACATCCATATCACTATCCAATACGTCAACAAGAACACACATTCAGAAGATCATTATCCAATTCGTCAACAAGAACACACATTCAGAAGATCATTATCCAATACGTCAACAAGAACACACATTCAGAAGATCATTATCCAATACGTCAACAAGAACACACATTCAGAAGATCATTATCCAATTCGTCAACAAGAACACACATTCAGAAGATCATTATCCAATACGTCAACAAGAACACACATTCAGAAGATCATTATCCAATACATCAACAAGAACACACATTCAGAAGATCATTATCCAATACGTCAACAAGAACACACATTCAGAAGATCATTATCCAATACATCAACAAGAACACACATTCAGAAGATCATTATCCAATACATCAACAAGAACACACATTCAG